TGAATGTCTAGCCAGCTTCACATCCCAGCTCGACATTCAAAATAAAACACAAAACGAATGTTGAGCTGAATGTTGTGCTGAATGTCTAGCGAGCTTCACATCCCAGATCGACATTTAAAAATAGGCAAAAAAACGAATGTCGAGCTGAATGCTGTGCTGAATGTCTAGCCAGCTTCTCATCCCAGCTCGACATTCAAAATTAGACCAAAAACGAATTTCGAGCTGAATGTTGTGCTTAATGTCTAGCCAGCTTCACATCCTAGTTCGATATTCAGAATTAGACAAAAACGAATGTTGAGCTGATTGTTGTGCTGAATGTCTAGCCAGCTTCACATCCCAGATCGACATTAAAGAAATAGGCAAAAAACTAATGTCGAACTGAATGTTGTGCTGAATGTCTAGCCAGCTTCACATCCCAGCTCGACATTCAAAATTAGACCAAAAACAAATGTCGAGCTGAATGTTGTGCTGAATGTCTAGCCAGCTTCACATCCCAGCTCGACATTCAGAATTAGAGGAAATAAAGATGTTGAGCTGAATGTTGTGCTGAATGTCTAGCCAGCTTCACATCCCAGATCGACATTCAAAAAAGGCAAAAAAACGAATGTCGAGCTGAATGTTCTGCTGAATGTCTAGCCAGCTTCACATCCTAGTTCGATATTCAGAATTAGACAAAAAACGAACGTTGAGCTGAATGTTGTGCTGAATGTCTAGCCAGCTTCATATCCCAGCTCGACATTTAAAATAAGACAAAAAAACGAATGTCGAGCTGAATGTTCTGCTGAATGCTAGCCAGCTTTCACATCCTAGTTCGATATTCAGAATTAGACAAAAAACGAACGTTGAGCTGAATGTTGTGCTGAGTGTCTAGCCAGCTTCACATCCCAGCTCGACATTCAAAATTAAACGAAAAACGAATGTTGAGCTGAATGTTGTGCTGAATGTCTAGCTAGCTTCACATCCATCCCAGCTCGACATTCAAAATTAAACGAAAAACGAATGTCAAGCTGAATGTTGTGCTGAATGTCTAGCTAGCTTCACAACCCAGCTCTACAATGATAAATTGAATGTCGAGCTGAATGTTCTGCTCAATGCCTTGCTAGTTTCCCATACCAGCTCAACAGTAATAAATCGAATGTCGAGCTGAATGTTTAATGTCGATCTCTGTGCCAACTTCGTGGACTTAAAATAACTTGGCATAAATATCTTCCGAATCAAGACGACATGTCGCGATTAAGACCCCTATCACTACCTTTAAGGTCAAGGTCATACTTATAGTTTGAAGGTATTCATTAATTCGAGAAGAGTTTGAAGATACACATTCATGTCCGGACTGTAACTTTGTCATGCATGGAAAAATTTTATAATAACTTGGCACAAATTTCTACCACATCAGGACGATGTATTGCAGCTAAGGCTCACGTCCGTCTGTCCGTTTGTGTGTCCCCACTTACACAACAATCATGTCCAGTATGTAACTTTGTCATGCATTGAGGGATTTTGAAATAACTTGGCACAAATGTCTATCACATGACAACATTTTGTCGTGTCCAGGAACCACGTCCCTTCTTCAAAGGTCAAGGTCACACTTATATTTTGAAGGTTCACGCTATCACAATAAGAGATTATAGGTACAATAATACAAAGAAAAATATTAAGCAATTAGTTACTTTCATACTCTTTTCTTTTCATACTACCAGTCCTGCATGCTTAAGAAACTTTTTCGGGGGCATTCGTCACTTGTGTGACAGTTCTTGTTGAAGTCCGAACTTAATAAGGAAAATTCTAAGTATAAAGGGATGATGATTCTAAAAATATTGATGCTAGAGTTATGAAGCTTGACATGTTATTGTTTAAAGTTATAAAATATCAATTTTATTTAAAAAAGTTAAATGGGGGAAATAATCCTTGAAATATTCATGCTACAGTTATGAATCTTGTCACACATGATAAGGAAATATATTTGAAGCTTAAGTTAGAAGTTGATACCTTTAGAAATAAAAAAAGAAAGTAAAAGTAACATTTTTTGAGAGAAAAAAAATCATGGGAAGATAATTCTGGAAAAATTGGTGTTAGAGTTAAAAAAAAAAAACATTGTCACATATGATGTAGTTGATGATAAGGAACACATGTTTGAAGTTTAAAGTCAATACTTTAATATGAAATGAAGATGTTAGAGTAAAATATAACATTATTTTAAGTTCAAGGGGATATAGTTCTGGAAATACTGGTTTTAGAGTTTTGCACCTTATCAAATGATGTGGACGATGATAAGGAATATATATTTGAAATTGATACCTTAAGAGATAAAGAAGTTATAGGCGCATAAGCATTAATTTAAAGTATGGACACTGACGTCGACTTGCAAACCATGGTGAGTAGGACAACTCACCACATTCTTAGTATAGTCGAGCTTATAATAAAAATATCACTTACCTGGTCATTTTAGTTAAGAGTCTTGCATTTTGCAGTAAAAGTTACATCTATGAACAGTTTTTTGTTTTTGTGCCCCCACGTTAGTGGCGGGCATTTAGATTTACCCTTGTCCGTCCGTCTGTCCGTCCTTCCGTCCGTCCGTTCACTTTTGTGTCGCACGTAACTCAAAAAGTATTTGACCTAGAGTCATGAAACTTTACAGGAATGTTGATCAGCATGTGTAGTTGTGCACCTGGGTATTTTCGTCTGGATATTTTTAGTATTTTCAGAGTTATTGCCCTTGACTTAGTAAAATTTTGCAATTTTCAACTTGTGTCGCATGTAACTCAAAAAGTATTTGACCTAGAGTCATGAAACTTTACAGGAATGTTGATCAGCATGTGTTGTTGTGCACTTGGGTATTTTCGTCTGGCTATTTTTATTATTTTCAGGGTTATTGCCATTGACTTAGTAAAATTTGGCAATTTTCAACATGTGTCGCACGTAACTCAAAAAGTATTTGACCTAGAGTCATGAAACTTTACAGGAATGTTGATCAGCATGTGTAGTTGTGCACCTGGGTATTTTCATGTGGATATATTTAGTATTTTCAGAGTTATTGTCCTTGACTTAGTAAAATTTTGCAATTTTTAACTTGTGTCGCACGAAACTCAAAAAGTATTTGACCTAGAGTCATGAAACTTTACAGGAATGTTGATCAGCATGTGTAGTTGTGCAACTGGGTTTTTTTTGTCTGGATTTATTTAGTATTTTCAGAGTTTTTGCCCTTGACTTAGTAAAATTTTGCAATTTTCAACATGTGTCGCACGTAACTCAAAAAGTATTTGACCTAGAGACATGTAACTTTACAGGAATATTGATCAGCATGTGCAGTTGTGCACCAGGTATTTTCGTCTGGATTTATTTAGTATTTTCAGAGTTATTGCCCTTGAGTTAGAAATTTTTTGCAATTTTCAACTTGTGTCGCAAGTTACTCAAAAAGGATTTGACATAGTCATTTAACCTTATGGGCAGGTTGCTCAGGATATTTAGATTTGCACCTGGGGTTTCGCTTGTGGATTTATCCAGTATTTGTAGAGTTATTTCCCTTGACTTTGTAAAAAGATTGACAGAACAGTGGCGAGGTGGGGGCACCCGTGTCCTATGGACACATTTCTAGTTTGTTTTTGTTTTTAGCGGGCCGGGAGGGGGGTTCAGTCAGTAACATGAGTGACACATAACTATTGAACTTTATTTATTATTAATTAAAAAAATTATCGTATGTTATAAAGTATAGTTACAGACCCATTTACAAAACAAAGGAGAAAAAACATTGATAAATTTAGTGAGTGTATCTTCTCCAGAAATTTGATCCTTCAAAGTTGAGGCCATTAGCTAAGAATACAGAGGGGCAATAAATAATGACAACACTCTCAACTCAGTGGACGTATTAATGGGAGACATGCAGTTAATAGTGATTTACTAGCTGATAAGCCCTTACTGAGATTCAGCAGCTGGAAGGGTTTATGCGTAGGACTGTATATGAAATCTGAAATGTTATGCATAATTTTTACTGTGAATTGTGTGGAATTGGATAGGGTAACAACTTAAAATGATTATAATTTAAAATGCGCATGGTAAACTTTCTTTGTATTTTTCACAAATGTATCTAAATAATAGTTTGATGCCCCTATTTAATATGACAAAATCTAACAGATTTTCTTACCCCACTCTCTTCTTATTTGATGTAAAATAACATTGAGTACGTTTCTCAATAAACCAAAAAATCTTTTCATGTGATTACCGAACATGATTGGCACAAGTCCCATAACACTGTTTTCCTTTTTGCATAATTATGCCCCTTTTTCGACTAAGAAATCCTTGGTTAAGTTTTTGCGTGTAAGCTGTTATCTCCATAACTACTGAAAGGAATGGATTGAAACTTCACACACATGTTTTCTGTGATTATCTTACATGATTTGCATGAAGGGTTTGTGCCATTTTTTGGACAATGTTATGCATTCATAATAATAAAGCAGTGATTTACTCAATAAAACATCTTATTAATAATAACAAGGCTTTGTACCTTTTCGGACAATTTTATGTATTTATATAGGTAAAATTTATTATACTCAATGAAACAGCCTTGTGACAACTTTTTCGAATAGTCGAGCGTTACTGTCCTCTGACAGTTCTTGTTATTAAATGGCTTTATTACACTCCTGTGCTGTGGTATATGTGATAAATTTGTTTACTTCTGCACTGACAATATCTATAAATGGTTCTCAGGTGAACAATATAGGATCATCATGACCCTCTTGTTTCATAAATGGTCCCTATTTCAGTGGTATTTGCCTCGACTGTCTCCTACTGGGATTTAAAGATGTGTTAAAAACCAAAATGATATCAAATATTCCATAGTATTGTATGAAGATTTATGTCTCAGATAATTGTATATCAATGCCTTTTAGTAGCAAAATGTATGAAGTTTCCAAACATTGAAGTTCTTTTGTGACATTTTAGTATTAGCGTATTGTGATAAATTGCAAAAAAATATTCTGAATATGACATATCCCATTTTTTAGGAGGATACCAAGTTATAGTCCAGCTTGGAACAATTGTCCACAATTGGACCAACAGTACCGGTACTGTTACTGGTCTGACTCTAGTAAAGGTGACTTCACTTTGAAAGACATAGATATTCAACTGATTCAGAGGTCCCCATGTGGAATAAGTGTTACCTCCAACTTCACAGTGGAAACCTCACAGATAGGTTTGCATTTCTATTTTAATCCTTAACTTGATTAATTTCTTTAACAGACTTTTCTAGCTTTCATGTACAGAACGTTTAATAATCTTTAAACATATTTATTTAAGCTCGATTGCGAAACAAGTTCTGGCAGCTTACATTAATTTGCTTCCTTGAACCAACCAGTACTGGTGTCATATGAAGAAATATGGTCATGACCCTATTGAGGCTCAAACCCATGATCCCTGGGTTGAAGGACAGACACCTTAACCACTGCTCCCCCTACTCATTATCATTATCTCAATTATCATCTAAGGGGGTATCAAAATGAAAGTTTACAGTTGGTCTGCCAACAATGTAAGACCTGGTCAGACTGCATGCATGTGCTGGCGTGCCAGACACTTTACTTGTGGCAAACATTTAGCTCGCTTCTGGTTACAATATATGTTAATGTTCTTCTGTTAAATAAATGTGGTCTAGCTTGATTGTGGGGACACTTTTATCCTATATAACCGCTTTAGTCAGCTTTTGGGGCACAATAAAACATATTGATGTCATATGCAAATATATGTATGTGACCCCAAAAGGGCTTTGACCTGTGATTGCTAGATTCAGAGGAAGACATTTTATTTTTCTAATTTTTAGAAATAACCTTTATAGGTGTCATATGAGGAAACATGTATGTGACCCAAAAAGGTCTCGAACCTGCAGTTCCTAGGTTGAGAGGCAGACACCTTTAATCACAAGTCTTAATTCACTTCTTTATATATGATAAATAACAATCTTTTACCCTTTCATTGGAAAAATTATGGCATTTTATAGTTTTATAATTTGTCTTTGGAAAAGTGGTTTAGGTCGTTGATGTTAAACCACTTACCCTTTACTGCTGTGGTTTCAAAGCCTGACAGAGACTTTGGAATCTTTCATGTGACGAAGCTCTCCAGCAAGGTCACATAATGTCGAGGGTTCTACTCAGCTGCCTGTTCATGCCTAAATTTATGAACAGAAAGGTACCTGGGTTTCTCCTCTACCACTAAAGCTTGAAAGTCTAATATTATATGAACTATACCATGTTAGAGCAACATAAAACCCAACAAACAAAAAAATACCACTAACATTCTTGTTCCTTTTTTTTCATTGAAGTAAATATTGCCAATACATAACTGACGTTTTGTTCGTTTTTGATATTTAGTGAAACCCAGACCAGTGACTGAATTAGCATCTAGGACTGTAAACAGTACATGTATTTATGTGCAATGGAGAACCATTCACTCACAAATGCAGTATCGTAAAGAGCATAGGGTGATCATAACAAACAAGTGGGGAAAGCCTCAGGTAAAGTTCTTGCATTGAAGTTTTTGATTCGTTGACATTTCCAAACATGAAATGAAAAAATTTGGAAGTTAGAAACAGCTTGAGTAAAAATACGGTAATTTTACATTTTGAGTACAAAATTATTTGAAAATAAATTTTGATTGTTAATGACTAAATTTTTCATGTTCTTTACATCAAAAACAGTGCCTATTTTTTAGTATAACTTGCATTTGGGCCCCTTGTGGTCAAGGTCACTGTTACTAAAAATAGAAAAAGTGGTATCCAGGCAATAACTACAGTTGTGAAAATTATGCACTTCAACAACATTTAAACAAACAGTCAAAAGGGAAAGAAAAAAAAGAATTATAAAAGTACGGAATTCAGTTACTAACAAATTAAGGCCATAACATTTTAAATTTAAGCTTTATTTACCTTAAATAAACACAGTTTTCTTTCATTTAGATATTTAAGTTCAAAACAACAAATGAAACGGAAAGGTACGTCCACAATAGAACATTTTGTAATCTACATCCCTACACAAAGTACGAATTTACAGTGGATATTCAGCCAATAGAGGCAGGGTTTTTCAGTGATCCGAAGCAAACAGAGGCGATGACATACTCTGATTGTGAGTAATGATATTTGAAAAGTTAAAAATTGTTGGTACAACGTAAAATTCAACCAAAACAATAATCAAGTTTGAAATGATGTTGAACATAGCTTTAATTAAAGCCATAGTTTTATATTAGAATGAAAATAAAATACAGTCTACCCCCTGCAAATACGAGAATAAAGAGTCATTAAATTTTATATACTAATAGTATGGTTTTACTTACACCACCTTCCAACAAAGAACTGCACCATTTATTTAATGTAGAATTATTTTATAGAATTTAATAAACTTTTAGTTCCTAGTGCAAGCCCGGAGGTTGTCTCAGGGGGTTACGGCTGGAATCCGAAGGATTGTAAAGCACCTTATACTAAAAGAAGTATCTGTATTCCTTTAAAGGTAAGTTTTTTAAAACAGTTTAATGAACACAACCAACCCATTCAAATCAAGATTTGTATAGTGAGAAGTAGGCACCTCTTATGTCATTTATTATTGAGTGTAAGACAAACTTTCAATGGAATAACTCATTAAGTTTAGCTAGTAGCAGATATCAAACCCATTGACTTGTAACATGTTAGGCAGTCAGACTTCCAATTCAATGACTTAATCAGAAACTTTCATATCGTGGCTTCTTAAGAATTCAGAATGTTTATATGCCTGTAGCATGTAGTGTTTTATCTATATTTCATTGGGACGTAATTTAAAGGATGAAAAACTTTTTGATCACTTTTAGAGATACTGCCTATTCCATTTTTAGTAACCCAGGAAAACAAAACTGCCAAGATATGATCTAAAATGTGTTAAAATTGGCTTTAAAATGAACCCAAAAAATATTTTAAGCGATCTTACTAGTTATTTTTGTTCTGTTTTCAGTCAATTGCACCTATAAATGAAAATGGGCCAATGAAAGGCCTTGTTGTGACATACATAAATGAACAAGGGAATGAAATGCGTGAAGACCTGGCGAAAGACTTAAAGTATGCTTGTACGAGTAACTTGATGTGTAATACTACGTATGTGTTCTATATCAAAGCCAGAAATGTGAATGGAACTTCCACAGTGAATTCCTCAATACGAATACCGGCATCAACATTAGGTAAGACTTGCCTTGAATCGATTTTACTCCGGTGCCTATTCATGCCTGAAATATTGCACAGCCGGGCATCTGAGGTCTTCCTCCACCAGTATTGCTAGAAAGCCACCATATGACCTACACTGTGTTATTGCAACGTAAAACCCAACCCCCCAAAAAAAATTAATTTGTATGAATTTGAAGTTCGGTTTTAATTGTTAACATGTTAATTTACTTTTATCAATATGTCTAATTAATTGCCCTTCTTTTAATGTAAAATAATTTTAACAGATTTCAGTATTGAAATACATGTATTAGGTTATGGAGTGTTATTAAACTTAATTGAGGCAATTCAGAATTCTGAAATAATAATAATTTGTGTTCATGTTTTTTTTTTGATTTTCAGGAATTAAACAACCAAATTTTATAGTTAAAGCAGGAAATGGCACTAATGTGACAGTCAGTTGGCCTGAAGCAGAAGAAGCTACCACTTTTATTGTATTTTGGTGTAGAAACAGAAATGGTAATTGTGAAGTGAGTATTAAAATCTTTAAAACTAATCAGAATGATTTTTTACATCCTTACAAATTCTAAAAAAAAGTGTTTTCACTCTTCTTAAAACATGTTTTCAATATATTCACGGATTACAAATATAATGCAAAACATGAATACTGCGCATCGTCAACGAGGATGACAACGATAGCGATATTATAGTCACATGTGACAGTACGCACTAAGCAGTTGGCAGTAAGCATAATGCGAGTTGCAATAATTTGTGTTCATATTATGACAGCAGGTGTCGCTTTGTCGGTACATCCCGTTATTTGCCGGATGATCCCGTATTTTGGCAAACAAATGTACGTCCCCTTTATATAGGGGCGTATACAGAACAGTGTTAGTTGGGGACTGACATGTAAAAGGAAAATTTACTGAAAAACACAAGAACACGATGCGACAGACGAAAAGTGCGTGTTTTTGAAGATTCCGCCAGCATGTGGAAAAAAATGTTGTAGATGTCTCTTATAACTCATCCTACAAGTGGCAACTCACCTCTTATACAATTGTTTACACTTCTTTTTGAGCGTGTGTGATAGTCGTATGAGCAAGAGTGAAATTGAATTTTAAGATATACTATGCTCAAACTTACGGTGGCACAAAGGTGAAATGTGTGTGTTTTTATTTATCTCGTGCGCACGAGATAGTGTGTCGTGGCAGTGAGATACTATGTTGTGGCCACGAGTTACTAAGTCGTGGCCACGAGATAATTAAGTCGTGGGAACGAGATAACTAAGTCGTGGCCACGAGTTACTAAGTCGTGGCCAAGTCGTGGCCACGAGATGAATAAGTCGTTGGAACAAGTTACTATGTCTTGACCACGAGAAAGTTAAGTCGTGCGAACGAGATAAATAACCAATCAAATCACACTATTTATATGAATTTTCCTTACAAGGATGCCCCTACTTCATCTGCCCGTTAAAGTGCCATTTATACAAGTTATTGATTGGTCAATGATTTAGCGTCATTGTGACCCCTGGTTTCTGACCAAATTGCCTAAAATTTATTAGGTGTAATCTTCTGATTTTTTTAGGTTATATAAACTACGGCTTATTCTTTCTAAATCATACAGACAAGGAATTTACATGAAGTGTCATGTTTATCTGACCCGTGACCTCAAACACCCTTATAGGATATCTACTGTCCATGGGCAATGACCATACCCAATAAAATAAACCAGGACTAAGTCCCTCTCAAGTTATGGTATAAACAATGTTAACAGACCGTTGTACGTACAAAAAGACCAATTCTATCATAGAATTGTCCCAACAAAGGGCTATAACTTAGTCAAAATTAATGTCTGATTTATGGGCCTTATGATGCTAAAGACATGTATCAAGTTCAAAGTGAACACTTCTGTATTTTCAAAGATTAATGTTGCACGTAAATCTTTAAACAGAAATTTTCTAAGTTTAAAAAATCATGGTGTAATCTGATTGGTTAATTATGTCGTCTGCACGACTTAGTTATCTCGTTCCCACGACTTAAACGACTTAGTAACTCGTTGCCATGACATAGTATCTCGTGGCTACGATATAGTATCTCGTTCCCATGACTTAACTATCTCGTAGCCACGACTTAGTAACTCGTGGCCACGACTTAGTACAGTACAAACTTTTTCTTTTTTTTGAAAAATAAAATAAAATTAATATAATTTGGCTTCACACAAATATTGTGCTTTAAATCCTTTACACTGTAAGTGGGCAGTATGAATATACATGTATAGTGTTATTACAAAAAAAATATATGGAAGTTTCTTTTAAAGACAGGCACAACTTTACTTGACTCGTAATAAGGAAAGCAGATTCCTATATATTGTGTGTATGTGTTTTTATTTAAATAAAACATATTTAGTAAGAATTTTATAGATTTCAATAAATTTCTGTGATGAAAATATATTACTGAAAGATGTGCATAGTATATCTTTAAGCACAAATGTATGTGAATGTGGTGGTGTATGCGGGATTTCTGATCTATAATCAGACACACATATGCCCAACATTTGTAATTGACAATGCACATGTTACAAAAATAAACATCTTCCTTCTTTCCTTATTATACATGTATATTTTAATGTGTTACATACCTATTCGCCACTATTAGTGACTCTGAGACATTTATTAAGTTAAAAGGCCAATAAATTTTGCTTTTTAATGTCCAAGTCATTAGATAAAGACCTTCGCAGTTCCTAGGCAGGTGCTTAACAACTGGATGGCAGCATTATATGCTTTGGTAAGGGAGTACACTATGACCAATATTGCATGAAACTGACACGTATATATTTCATCCCAGCTCATGGACGTATCTTTGGAATGAGCTGGGGGTAGGTGCAGCCCTTAAGCCATGGCCGTGGCCAGAATCCGCCACTGTACGTATAACTGCCCCATTGAATAACTGTTTACGAGCATATTTTTTCTATTAGACTGTATACATATATAAAATTATATTGCATAATCCTTTACTACTTGTATTTATATTCTTTCCACTGCAATTTATGTATTAAGCGCTGGGTACGTATTTATATATACATGTACGCAGTATCTATAAGGAAAATTCCGATGATAGGCGAATCGTGCATCCGTTGATATCGATAACAGAGTTCTCGCCCCTTAACAGTTCACAAATCGCTAGACATTGTTTAAATTGTTTATCATAATGTAAGATGATCAAACATAATCCACAAAGCCTCAGACACCGACATTAAGCATAAACACTGAATAATGGATATAAGAGAAAGCTAATAGTAATCGCGCCATGCGAGCTATAAATCAAATAAGTCACATT